CCTGCAGCACGAATCAAGGCGCTCTGAGCAGCGCCTAATTTATTTTCCACGACGCGCTGTAGAGTCCAAGTGGTTTGCAACGGCAAGAACGGCACGTGATCGTTCTCTACTCTGTTCAAACTCCCACCACTCAAGCGCGTCTGAATTCCCGTCTATACCCCCCCCAGAGCAGGCGCTCGAGCCTCAACTAGCTCAATGGATCCACCCGAGCCCGCGAAGCGTGTAACTCGCTCACAACTTCCGTTGCCCGATTCACAACTCTCCCTTAATCGCTCCCCCCTCAAGGACGCGCGAATAGCCCAGCGCAACTACCCCATGGACCCCATGGACCCCCCAGAACCCCGCCCGGAAGATGGGGACAGTGAAGACGACGAGATTCTTCTGTCGCCGGGAAAGAATCGCCATCTTAATTCCCGGGTCAATTTTAAGCGCTCGGCTTCCCCACCCCCGCAGGACGAATACAATGACTTGGCGGCGCCGAACGACGGCCGTGAGCTTAAGCGCGTAAAGCGGGACCCGGAGGATGCGGACAAGCCTCCGAAACACGATCCAGAGTCGGGAGGCAGCGACATCGAAAACACAGACACCAACGTTCGAACTACCGCGGTTCCGTCCCACTCCCGCAACATCTCGGAACCCCTTCTGGGATCCACGAGGAAACTATGCAAACCCCGTTCTGCCTCCAAGCACACGCCTGCTTCACCCAAGGGCAAGGGTCGCGCCCGATCCGTCCCTGTCTTCCCCGTCCTCGACCTAAGCAATCCTCCCACCACTCCCTGGAACCGTCGCGCCCGCTCGCGTTCGCCTTCCAAAGAGAGAGAATCTCCCAGATTTCAAATCACATTTTCTTCCCTCGCCCCCATCCCGGATGAAGTGGCCACGCCACCCTCCGTACTTGAACCTCCAGCGATGCCACCCCCAGCCATCGTCGAGCCGCCATCAACCCCCTTGGCTCCCCAGACCTATCGTGCTGTATTTGCCACCCCGATGTCACCCTTGACTCCGCTACCAGAAACCCCTCGACCATTTCAGACGCGTGGCGAACTTCCTGACGGCTTCCCACGTACCATTGGTTGGGGAGTCGATATTGCAGTCAGTATTGTCCGTTTAGGCAGTCTCGATGATGTACTTACTAGCACGCGACAGGAGGTACAGCAAGTAGACGGTCTTCCCGCCTCCTCCGACACCTCTTCCCTATTTCCCCCAATTGCTTTCAAGCCTCCGGGTCCGTCTCTACCAGAGGCCATACAGGGTCCGCCTGTCGCTGAACCGCCCGCCCCGGTCGAAGACGCTCCACTCCCAGAAGAAGTGGGCAAAACGGCGAAGGCGCCCGCTCAGAGCCGTCTCCCTCGGCCTCAGTCCATTATGGGCCCACCACCAGTACTCCCGACCACGAGAGGCAGCAAGAACCTCATGGGTCCGCCGCCTGTTCCAGTCCCGAGCAGCAGTAGCTCCACGTCCACGTCGAAGTCTACCGGGCCGAAGAATGCGTTTAACCTTATGATGGCGTCTTCAGCTCGGGGAACAATTGGGAAGGGGAAGGGCAAGGAAAAGGAAAAGGGAAAGGAGACGGTCACCAAACCTTTCGCCTCGTCTTCAGCGGCATCCGTCAAGGCTCCCGCCATGCCATCGTCGTCATCGACCTCCGCAGTTACCTTGGGTTCGAAGGGACCTACGAAGATTTCCGTTCCGAAGGAGAAGGGTAAAGGAAAAGGCAAGGAGAAGGTAGAGGAGAAGTTAAAGGAGGAAAAGAAGGCGTCGGTCAAAGCGAAGATGCGACCCAGGGAAAAGCCCAAACCTATCCCACTCCCCATCCACGTTCGCCTTCCCGAAGATAGCGATGGCGAGCCAACGAGCACCCCGACGGCTGCGAGTCGCCCAGAGACGCCGACGACGTCTGCCGACGGTCCCGCTCTACCAGCTGCGATGGTCCATGTTGAAGAGGCGCCGTCGGTTCGACCCCCTCGGCGCTTTTCGAGCCCACTGACGGAGCCGGATGACGATGAGCCCGACGCATATCCTCTCGTTGACGATAATGGACCCCTTCCTCCTGCATCGTCATCTCCCGACATCCTGCATTCTCCCGCTGGGGGTCCGCAACTGAGCCTTCCAGAAGTGCCTACTGAATCTCTTGCTGCCATACCTGATGCACCGGCCGCAGCGGGCGAGGAGAAAGGGACGTTGGATTCTGAGATGACCGCAGACGTCGCTGAGCCCCCCTCCTCTCCTCTCACAGATGTGGCTATGGATTTTGTAGATGAGCATGTTCCGCCGGCAGACGTATCCATGTCAGGCCCTGAGCCTTCTTCCGTTGACACGGGACCCAAAGGGCGTCCCAAATCTCGTGTCGGGAAATCTCGCGCACCGGCTCCACTCCCGGCACCCGCCGACAGAGTGACCCGCAGTGCGTCGCTGAAGCGCAAAGAGGCGGAAGGCGGAGGTGTGTTCTCCGCCATTTTTTTCCTTCGTGATTCCTTTTACTTAGGTTTTTACTTCTCAGCACCCACGCGGAAGAAATCGTTTTCCTTTGGGATGGGGCCCGCGGTGGTCGGGAATCCGGCGAAGAAGCGCAAGATGGACGACGAGTCGACGTCGCACTCACACTCACAAGCTAGGCCGTCTGGTTCCCCGACGAAGATCCCGATGGCCTCTCCCACTAAGGCATCGTCATTCGCCAATCCGACCAAAGCCAGTGCAGCAAGAGCTGCAGTGACCAAGACATCGGCTAAGAACAAACCTGCATCTGCTGCTGCAGCCCCGGGCGGCTCCCCTTCTCCAACCAAAAACAAGTTGGTGAGGGCTACCAGCCTCTTTACCGCACGACCACCTCGTGAGTCTCATCCCCTTTTCTGTACTATCCCGTTCTGATCGCCCCTCTAGCTTCTTTCGCGCGTACCTTTACAGGTGCAGGTGGAAACCCCTCGTCTCTTCAGACGTTGGCATCGGCACTGGAGAAGCTCAGGATGCCTCCGCCTCAGCGGCCGAATACGAGCATGGGCTTCAGCCGGGACGACACGGATAGTACATTGACAGAGTCCACTCGAAGCGTGGATGAGAGGAATATCGGCATAGGTCGTCCGAGTGGTGGACTGCAGCGAGCATCTACTGTAGCCTCCATCGCGAGTGCTTCCTCATCTTCTTCCTCCATCATAGGCGACTCTTCGTCCGCTGCGCCGCCTCTGAAATCCGCCCTAGTTCAACGTCCGCTCTCCGCGTTCATGGCCCCTAAAGGCCTTGGTGCGTTGTCAAAGCTTACTGTCGGCACGGGCTCTATCATGCGTGGCGGACCGAGCGTATTCGGAGGTGCTGGCAGGGCGAGATCGGCGCCAAAAGTCAGTCGTAATCCGGGACTGCCTAGCGTCATGGGAAGTCCCGTCAAAGGAGGGGGGACAGAAGATGGCGATGCTACCATGCTTGAAGAAGAACTGATGGGAGGCGTGGGTGAGATCCTCGGAACGACGGACGCGACCACTGAGAGGGTCACCTCACCTCGAGCAGTGACTTTTGACTTTTCCAGTATCCTTGAATTCGAGGCCAGCAAAAAAGGCAAGGAAAAAGAACGGCTTCCTCAGGAGTGGAGGCAGAATGCGTCTCGGAGAGCATCTATGGCGGCACAAGACCTGTCGAAATCGGTGTCCCTCCCTCCGAAGCCCATGGGACTCATGGGCCCTCCAGACACGCCTTTGGACCGTGTCGGGATGCGAAGCACGAGTAGCAGCTACCCTTCTTCTTCGTCCGATCCATCCGGCTCGGCGGGCACCGACGGGATGCGGAGGAGCACCCGGATCGCGAAGAGTGCTTCGGCTTCGGCTGACTCGTCCATTGGCGACGAAGACGCTGCCGCAGCAGAAGCACAACAACCAACCGCGACTCCCATTCAACCATTGACCGTTCTCAAGGGTTGCGTCGTCGTTGTGGACATAATATCAGAAGGCCGGGATCATTCGGCCAAGTTTGTCATCACGGAGATGCTCAAGAATCTCGGCGCAAGAGTGTGTTTCCTTTTGCCAGGCATTCGCTCGCTGTGCTGACGGATATTTCAGGTTCTGGCGAGCGTTGGCCAGACATGCACTCATATTGTTTACAAGAATGGCGGGCGGGGTACCCTCAACCGTTACAAGTGAGGATCGTTTGCCCCGTCGACACGGTCTTTAACCTTTGTTTAGAGCGCTACCTGATCCAAAACCCCACGTAGTTGGGATGGAGTGGGTTGTACAGTCTGCAGAGAAACGAATCCATGAAGACGAGACCCCATATCTGATTGATATGGACGATATGAACACCAAAGCTACAAAGGTTCGCTTCATTCTGGTGATTACTTTCCCTCATTGACACAGACATCTCATAGCGCCGCAAATCCATGTTGCCTCGACTAATGTCCGGCGACATAGACAGCGTGGACGGAGATTATTCTTTCGACGGCTCGTCGTCTTGTACGTACTTTACTTCTTTCTCCGTCTCAACGCACAATTTACTTTCGGCTTGCAGCCATGATAATGGACGACGATCTGGCGCCGTTGGAGAGGGCAAGGCTGCGTAAAGCTGGAACTCTGGGAATTTGAGGCCTTTGACGACATCATGATTTTTTTTATTACTTGCTACATATATTCTACTGGCCGAGACGCCACACGGATCCCATTTCTAAATTCCTTCTACATAATGTGGTGCCGGGAAAGAAAAGCATGTTTGTATTGGTCCCAAGGAGACCGCGGACACTCTGCGTTGAGATATTCCTTCCTTTTCACAAGAAGTGGCAAACTACAAGTTGCGTCGTCCCTGTCACTCTATGGAGAGTTGGTGGCGAACCTGCAAATGGTTGCTCAAGAGAGAAGGATTCAATTCAATTCAATTAGAGTGTGCGCGGGCCTGGCCAGGGGCACTATACTAAGTACCATGAAGTAAACTAGCCGGCCTGGAGGGATGGGGGAATGGAACGCGGGGAGAGGTGTGCTGCGAGGTAGAGAAAAAAATTGGTCGGAGGAGGTAAAAAAAGGGTAAATTGACAGAAGTGGGGTTCGAACCCACGCCCTATTCGGACTGGATTGTCGGGAAATAACCTAATTCCAGCGCCTTAGACCACTCGGCCATTCTGCCGCCTGAACGGAAGATTTAGACTAAAAAATGACTGCTTTATAGCACATCAAGCGAAAAAAAAAATTCCCGGTCTCTGTGCAGACTGGATACTTTGAACGATACGGACAAACTCACTCAGCCAGATCGTATACATTATATACCCTCGATACTTTACTGCACCGGCATCTTAGCTACGTAGGTAGCTTGCGCCGTTAACTGATTCTCTCTCTCTCTCTCTGTCCAAGCATGTGGTTACATGTACAAGAAATAGATGTAATTTCCAAGTCTATCTCGTGTTGCTTCGACTTCAAGTCGGTGCTGATCATGAGTCGGGAGTCCAGGACAAGTATAGTCTTCCGTAAACAGGGTTTTGCTGGGTTTGATGGATGTCACTACATATAATTTTATCCAAGGTAGACGCTTGCATGTGTGTAGAGATCTGCGCTCGGGGGTGACAAGAAGCACCTTTGGTGCACTGGATCTGAGGGACGAGAAACCGCATCTTCGTTCGAGGGACGAAGGACGAGGCTGTGTGGTGTGTGTGGGGGGAAAGGCCGTCCCGGCCGATCGGCACTTCCCTAGGCCGCAAAGAGGGGCAGCGGGGAAGGGCGGATCGGAGACGGAACGCGCGGGCACGGCCGATCCCGTACACAAAGGCAACCACGGGTCAGAAGAAAGAGACCCGGAGCCACCCAACAGAGCGAAGCTCAGAGTGCCGAAGGCTCGTGCAAGGGGAGAGAGAAGCGGGCCCGAGGACCCCAACACAGAGCAGAAAAGAAAAGGCCTTTCGCGTATACAAGAAACGGAGAGCGCATAGACGAGGTACGAAAGGAGAACAAGAATGCAGTTGCTGGTCATTGGACGAATGTCCAAGAGCATGCGCAAACTTGTGCTTCCCAGGTGCACAAGATGACGAGGATGGTCTACCTTGAAGCGAAACGTCGCCGATAGATCAGGAAGGACGGGAGCGGGACCGTGAGCCATGAGGGACGTAGTGCGAGACAGGACGTGGAGGCAGGAGTAATCAGGGCTGAAGACACGAATGGGAGGCTTGAACAGACCGAGATTATATGAATGAGCACGGTAGCGGACGAGCCGAATGAGTCCGAGAAAGGACCAGGGAGGCGGAACAAAATTGTTGCACGCGAAGGGACGAGCCGAGCGAATGTGATGTCAGTATGAGCAACAAGTCTGGCGGGACAGAAGCCAGCAGGCGCGTAGGCAAGGACAGGCAAGACCGAGGAATAAGGAGACAGCGAGCGGGCCAAGAGTGACTGGGCACCGCAGGAAAGGTGCAAGAGTTCATCGTTGAACACGCCACACAAAATTGACCAGAAGTCCGAATTGAAAAATGTATAGATGGGACAAGCAACGTGAGGCGCAGTGACGAACGGACCGGAAGGTCAAGGAAAATATGCGAGACGAGTTCGCTCAATGTAAAGCACCAGCAAGCTGCGGCAACCCGAAAAGGCCGCGTGAGTTGGTGAATGAACAGAGTGAACGTAGGATATGGGGTGAATCTAACGCGATAGGAACCAGCGAGATACTGGATGCACTTCTCCACGGGGAGCGAGTCTTTATTCCTGGAGTTTGAATTTTCGATAAAGCGAAATTTTTCCAAGTCAAAACAACTGACCTCGGCTAATCGCGGCAACTCCCGACCGTAGGTTAAATTGCTCCAGTCGCTTTTCGAGTGGCCTATTGATCGACTGTCATCAATCTTTCCGCCCGCCGAAAAGCGACTGGATCGAGTCTAGAAGAACCTCAGCCGAAACCTCGATCGTGAACGGCGTGGGGACGAGCACGAAACGAAGCGCGTGCGTTACGGTAACGGCGGCATGACGTGAGAACACGACGCAAAAACAAGATGAGCAGTCGCTGTGGTACGCGCGCCAACGAAGTGCGACGTAGCACAAGAGGGGGAGGAACCGAAGCCGAAGCCTTGGTGGAATGCACGCAGCAACGATAAAGAAAGTGAACTGACCGTCTAGGAGCCCGAGAACTCGATTTTAAGTCAGGGTGGTGATCTGGACGAATGTGTGAGTCTTGGAAACGAAGTGCGAAGGACGAGACGAAGACGAAGGACGAGGCGCCCGCATGTCACGGTAACAGCGGGTCGTGCGACAAGTAGGAAAGCGGCTACGGTGTGCGCAAGCAGCGGAGCGATATCACTGGCTCAGACGAGGTAGCTCCACGAACGCGAAATGCTTGTGGATGAAGGTGTAATCGCGCACCGGAACGAAAGACGACACAGTACCTGAGGTATGTGTTGTAATGCAGACGAAGAGTCGCGCAAACGATGTGCGAAGAACGAGACGAAGATGGATGACGAGGCACCCGCGTAGTACGAGAGGCGGTACGATGCGCGCAAACAGAAACGGCATCGCTGAAGTGGACGAGGTAGCTGCACGAGCGCGAGCTGCATATGGACGAAGCCTGGAGTCCCGCGAACGGCGTGCTTTGCACGAGAGGAAGACGAGAACGAGGCGCCCGCGTGTTACGGTAACAGCGGGCCGTGCAACGAGTACGAGGGCGGCTACGGAGCGCGCCAACAGCGGAACGGCATCGCTGACGTGGACGGGGCAGTTGCACGAGCGCAAGCTGCTTGTGGACGGAGGTGCAGTCGTGCATGAGAACGAAAGACGACGCGGCACACAAGGTGTTTCGGTAGTAGCGGGTCGCGCGCCGAGTACGAAACGAGGGCGGCTGCGGTGCGCGCAAGCAACGGGACGACATCGTTGCGGTGGACGACAACTGGACGGCAAGTATCCCGAACGCCGTGCGAGGCAAGGAGCAAGAATGAAATGAAGTGCGTGCGCGTTACAGGAACGGGGACCGCGACTGTGAGGCGCCTCACGCGACAGGAGGGGAGCGGCCGATGCTGCGCGCAAACAGCGGGGCGGAATCACGAGCGTAAATGCGAAGTGGTCGCACGAATGCGCCGCGTCGTGCTCGAGAACAAAATGTGAGGCGGCACATAAGGAAATGTGCCACCACGACAACGAAAGGGGGACTCATCCGAGACTTCGGTCAGAAGCGCAGAGCGCGCAAACAAGATGTAGAGGCAGCACATAAGAGGGTGTGCCGCCATGCCGGTGAAAAGAAGTCTCAGTCGAGACTTTGACGAAACGCGCAGGGCGCGAAGAAAGAAATGCGAAGGAAAGAAGATTTGCCACTGGTAAGTGACCCTGGGTACCCGTGGTGCGGTTGGGCCGGCCCAACCAACGGTGACGCGTTGTCGAGCCCCACGGGAGGCAGGGCGATGTGTGCGAACGGTCGCAGGTCGCGGCTTGTTCTGTTTCTCTAAAGGCGCTGGACGCGCCGCGTATGCCGATTTTGAATGTATGAGGGTCGCAATGTCGGCCAGGCGCGAGATCTAAGATCCAAGCTGGCGAAGTCGAAATTCGCGTGACGGGCCGATGGCACCAGCTCAAGATGGTGAGCATGGTGAAAAGGAAGCCGCGCGAGGTCCAAAAAAATGGAGCTGGAGGACGATGAAGGCGACGAAGAGAGCTTCGAGTCTGCGCGACGCGTGGCGCCGGAGAGAAACAAAGCCAAAGTGGCTGTGTAGATCAGATCGTAATCTAATCTACACGAGACGGACGGACGGGCGCAGGTCGTCTCTACGCTACTCGTCTGCCTTGGCTTCCACTCAGGCCGGCTCGCAGGCTCGCCTTGCCTGAGCTCGCAATAATGCTTCTTTCACCCTTGCAACTGGTCAGGGTAAATTTACTTTATAATTTTGGCCCTTTGGGAGAACCGAATCCAAAGAGGAAGGACGGGAGGATGCGGACAGACGCCAAGGACGAGGCGGAGCGAAATCAAGGATGGATTCAGGTACTCAACTATTGACAGAGTTGATTGAGCGACGTATCTAGTGATTTCTGTACGTATTTATAGGCAAAAGAAAAGGGGACGTTCGGAAGAATCAAGACAAGAAATATAGAGAAGTATGAGACGAGTGGAGACGAGGCAGTGAGAAGGAATATAAATGCGGAATGGGGGGAATAATATGGAGCGGAAGAAGACGGGGATTTCGGAGATGATCCGAAGGAGATTCCTCGCACCCATGCAAAGCCATGGTAAATTTAACCAGACAACACTATGATTCGAATCTGAATCCAGCTGTTTTTATTACTTGGCCAGGATTGGGTAGAGGCTGAAGAACCCAATTCCAGCGCCTCAAATTGATCAATAAAGGTTTGAACCCACCGCCACACTGACTCGAAAACCCTCTGGCCTGATTGATACAACACTCAATAAGGACTCAGGAAGGGAAATGCATTACTCCGATGAGATAAAAGCTGTTGTTGAGCTAGAAGTCTGCCCAAGCTTCCATCTCCTAATCGGGATCGGTATAGTTTGCCAGGCGTAGCGGACAAACAAAGGCACATGGTAGACCTCGTTTGATTCGAAGAATGCGGCTGAATGCGGCTCCCGCAGCGAGCTCATCGGACCTCATTTATCTCTTTTCAAAAATATAACCTTGGAATTTCTTCCCTAGCGACACTCTTAACTGACCGCAACCCGTAGATCAGCTTAAGCACATTAGGTAGTAAGTACAGTCACTGCGTTCAGCCGCGCCGTAGACCAGAGTGGTCTAGGGTGAAGGAGGTAGAGTTTGTAAGGTCATTTTGAGGTCATTTGGTAATTGCTTCAGGCAGCCTCCATCTCGGCGATCGTGAAGGCTGCTGCCACGGACGGAGCCGCAAACGATACCAACAGGCCCATGTCGAGACTGAATTCCACGTTAGTGATATTTAAAAAGCGGGCCGGACAATTTGATAACGCGGCGAACATTTTTGAGTATAGTTGAAAGAACGAGCTCTATGACGCAGAGATAGTGAGGGCTGGGCTGGGTTCTGTTCGTTTTTATGGTCAGGAATTTGACTGCCCTCTGCTGCTACGCAGTGAGTACGCATGACAATGGAACGGTTGAGGCGCTGACGCTCCAACCGAGCGTACACAACCGAGTAGCATTGAGAAGATGCCCGGGGCCAAAGGAATCGTCGCTACAATAA